TGTGAACAGCCAGTGCACTCCAGGTTTGGCAATAGAGCAAGACCCAACCCCTAAAAAAAAGTTATATTTGGATCATTTGAAATTTTTGCTCAGCAGAATAGCTGATCTGGCTGATAGCATGAACCCATTATGCTTTATTCTTTCTCTCCATTTTATGAGATATTTAGGGTCGTGCTGAGAAGTAAAACTGAATCATGAACCCAGCCAAACTACATCCAGGTGTCACATGTCCAGATGTTAAATGTCAAATGACCTTTAGGGTAGCAGGAATAACAAACAAAATCTCCTTAGTTTTTATCTTCTGTGGAAATATTATGATACTTTAGAGGATGGAAAAGGAGATGGGGTGAGAAGATGTACCCAGAGTTGTCAGTTACTCAGCAGAATCTATAGTCTGATAGACAGAATATATACAATAATTTTTCTAATTATATACTGCCTGTGACTCTTCTTCTGGGAATGTGGAATAAAAGGAAAGTGAAACCAGAGATGCACAATACCGACTGTTAGAAAACTTTAATAATTAATTAGAGACCATCTATGGTACTACAGGGTCAGGGTGCAGGGAAGATCATTGATCCGTTTAAATTATAACGTAAGAAAAGCTTGTTCCCCCTTATGTATCCTAACACTTCAGTTGTTGCACTGGTATAGGGATGGCTGCAAATAAACAGAAAAACTGGTGGTACACGTATCTAGTTCTGTTGCTTTACTATTCAATGTATTAAATTCATTGAATTCTTTTACATTTAAATCGTCAAATTTATTTACTAGTATAAATTCAATACTACCCTTTTCTTTGAGGTAGTTATAAGTGTTATTTTTAACCTGAGAGTCTTCTCTCTTTAAAAAGTCATTAAAAGAGTCACACTGTAATTTGTGCCACTTTGGTAGGTATGCAGTGATAGCTTATTTAAATTTGTATATCATTGATTACTGCTGTTTCCATGTGCTTGTTGGATAGTGCATGTCCTTTTCTGCGCTTGCTCATTGGGAATTGTCTTTATCCACTGTCAATCTTTGCATTCTTTCCTTTACAAAGGCAAACTCAGTTTCTGTAGTAAGAAACTACATTCCCAAGCAGCGTTTCATTTTCACATCTTGAGTGCTTTCTGATCAGAAACAGAGTTTGGTAAAGAGCTCACTCTTACTGTGTGGCTGCTGTACAAATGCTGTTTTTAATAAGTACCAAAAATATATCGAAGTTTGTCCTTGGACAAGAGTTTATCACCATTGGCCTGTGGGTGAACTTTGAGCCTGAGCTGTTTCATTCAAGGCAGCATGATGTCATTTAACTGCAAGTTTCTCTGTAGCTAGAAAAAGGAATGTTGTTCCCCCAAATAACCTAAAGGACGGAAAAATGCTGGCACAACATTTTTCACCTCTCAGGTCTCCACTAAAGACTTTAGCATGGTCAGGGTTTTATTGTTTGCAGGGGAAGGGCGGGGATATGGTGGAGTGTAGGGGAAAACAAAAAGTGTGTCTGGTCCTGAATCTGAACAATTCTACTGTTCACATAAAACTTCGCCTGCCGTTCACTTTGAGAGGCCAAGACGGTAGGTTGCCTGAGCTCACCAGTTTGAGCCCAGCCTGAGCAAGAGTGAGACCCCGTCTCTACTAAACATGGACAACCTGAGGCAAGAGATCGCTTGAGTCCAAGAGTTGGAGGTTGCTGTGAGTTATGACGCTACAGCACTCTACCCAGGGTGACAGGTTGAGACTCTGTCTCAAAAAAACAAACAAAAAACTACAGCCAAAAAAATCTTAGCTGCCATTATGGCAGCTCACACTCACTTCTCCAGATTAGAGCCTTTGGGTCCATCCGTGACCTGGTGTGCCATTCCTTTTCAAGCCTGTGAGCTTAGAATGTTTTGCCTACCTGTATTGGGGGAAATGTTAAAATATAATTAAATATGGCAGGGTGTAACAGCTTATACCTGAAATCTTGGCACTCTGGGAGGTCAAGGCAGGAGGATTGCTGGAGTTCGTGAGTTTAAGACCAGGCTAAGTAAAAATGAGACCCTGACTCTACCAAAAATAGAAAAATTAGGCTGGCATGGTGGTACTGAAGTATTCCCTTTATGCTCCTACCTCAAAATCTTTGTATTTGATATTCCCTTTGTAAAACTTTTACCTCAGATATCTGCGTATTCTCTTCCCTAAACTCTTTAAAATCTCCTCTGTCCTCTTCTATTTTCTAAAACATGTTCTAACCTCTGGGTATTTGTGTATATTCACATTTTTCAGTAGTATTTAAGGGGTGGAGATTTCAAGGATTCTCTTGTTCTGTATTAAAAGTGTAATATGACTATAGTTATGTTTTGCCATTCGTATGATTGTGTAGGTGGTTATATATTGATTTCATAGTAGTATCGAATACATTGGAGAGACAGGTGAGGAGAGGAGATTTGGGAGAAGGGAGGGTATTCTGGGGGACCTCACCTAATGTGCATGATGCAATGGTACATTTCAAAACTATTAAGAAGGCTCAGCACCTATCGCTCAAGCGGCTAAGGTGCTAGCCACATACACCTAAGGTGGCAGGTTCGAATCCAGCCCGGGCCCGCCAAACAACAATAATGGCTGCAACCAAAAAATAGCCGGGCGTTGTGGCAGGCGCCTGTGGTCCCAGCTACTAGGGAGGCAGAGGCAGGAGACTCGCTTGAGCCCAGGAGTTGGAGGTTGCTGTGAGCTG